CTATTTAGCAAGTCCACAGGTTTTTGCCTTCGCCTATTTATTAGCCTTCTCATTGGCTTCATTGTTCCAGTGTACTGAATGGAACCCAGACAATGGAGGCGGTTGTGGTTGACCGAGACACTGAGCATAATTTCATTTTGCACTCCTTAACTAGCTTTTATTTGGCAATCGGAGACGCTATTGCCAATAGTTCCGCCTAGATTTAGTTTTGTATCCGACTCTATTGGATAAGATTTGACAGGCCTCCAGCTTAACTAGAACTTCGGCTTGTAAGATGCTTGTATCCTTTAACAATCGTATAAAGTAGAACTATATTAAATAAGGAATTCGCCTACCTTACCTTTACTTTTAGAATTTGTTGGGGGAGCCTAAAACTGTGATGCCCAAAATTTTCGTGAGCATCACGGGCCTAAAGTATCTTGGGGAATCACGGTCTCTTGTTAGCTATACAAACGATCTTTGAGGTTGAGGTGTTCCTCGTTTAGCTACATCCAATTATTTAAATAACTATCTAAATTGCAATAAAATTCTAATGCTTTAATTGGCATTCTACGAGGAATTTCAAAGGCTCCTACTAAGACCCACAGTGGTCTGAAAGAGAACATAGCGGTACAAAAATATTTTAAATTTTTTAAATTCGCTTGAAGCTGGTTACTCGGAGGTATTTGGGGCCGCTGATTATGAAACTGACCATGAATTTTTTAAATTCAAAATGGCGGATCCAATCTCACGGAATAATTTTTAAAAATATATTGAGTTCGCTCGAAACTTGCTACTTGGGGGCTTTTGGTACTTTTGAGGAGTTTTTATGGTAGCTGATTACAAATCTGAAATCAGGTTTCAAACATTTTAAATGATGGGTCCAATATGACGACTTTCTAATATAAAAAGTTAGTGGATTTTAATAGAACATAGTGAAAATTAGTTTCCTCTTAAATTCAAATTTAAACAAATTTGACAAAAAGTTGTGTGTGTGTGTGTGTGTAGTTTATATATTAAATAATAACAATATGTAATAGATTTTTGGCAAAATTTGCAATTTTGAAAACTTATGTAATTACATTTTACTTATATTTACAAAAGTGTATGTTTTTCACTCTTATAAATGACGAATTAATAATTTTTAAGATAACACGATTGAACGTCACATTTTTGACTACTATTTAGAAAAAAAAAGTTTAGATTAAAACAGAACCTAGGGTGCTGGAAAAATCTCTAGCGAACTCCGAAATTTTAGAAAATTTTTGGCGCGTTCACGTCCGTAGCGTTTACAGGTGCAAAAATGCAAAAATTAATTTGAAGACTTTCATTTTTAGTATTTCGTCCCGCTAGATTCTCCATTCAGACCACGGTGCGACCCAAAGAATATTTTGTCACATATTCTAGCCTCATTATACTAATGACGGCCGGTTACTCAATGTCTGATTAGCACAAACCCCGGTTAAATATCGTTATCGATGTTACAGACTCCCTGTTATATAAGTACATATATACATGCATACATGCATGAAGTCGAAGACGTTGATAACGATGTTTAACCGGAGATTACTGTTTTAACTTAATCAGAACTAAAAAAAGTTTTTGAAATTTTTGAACTCCCTTAAAGCAACCATCGCTTGTATTTTATTTTTATCTAAGGGCGTGTGTGAATCGGTAACAAAGTTTGCGGCAAGTAAATTTTTGACAACTATGAGGTGAATAAAATTTTAGTAGCTCATGAGGCTAGTGAAATTTTTGGCAAATGCATAGAAAATTTTGACAATCGCAAAGATTGGTGATGTGTGTAATTTTTCGTAAAATAAAAGCTTAAATTGATGAATTGCAATCAACGATGGTAGATGTTTTCTTAAAATATTAATTTCACTTCAATTTGTAATATTTTATTCCGTATAAAGCTGCGGTTATCAAAAATTTACTGCTGTCAAAAAATATTTCATTTCACACAGCAGATTGGCAAAACTGTCTTACCATAGTAAAAATATTGTTCAACAGCTTTCCCCATAGAACTTTGTTACCGATTCACACATGCCCTAAGAATAATACTTTTTATTTATATTTTTAAATTTGAATTGCATTTGCCCACAAATATTTTATATTATTTTATTTTATTATCGTTTTTATTTGTTTGCTTTAAATATAAGACAGTTTGGGACCAAACAAACAAACAAAATATTTCCACAAAGTTATTACACAAAAATATCTTAATGAAAAGTACTAATAAACTTCAATAATCGCACGCTAAGCTGTTTGCTTAAAATATTTAAATGTCACTAAGTTCTGATAAGCATTAGAGTGATAATCAGAAAAATGTATATTTGCCATTTAAGTACATAATAAAATAATAAAAGAGAGACAAAGAGAAAGAGGCACAGCAACATCGAGCGATAAGAAGAAAAAAACAATAGTCAAACATTAAAAATTTTAAATTCAAATTAAAAACAATTATCCAAAATAAACAACAATGTTTAAGTGATAACCAAAGATGAGAACCAACTTCAAATTCGTATCCATGGTCACTGCGAGCAATGGGCGGTAAGATGGTACTGGTGGTTGGTTGATTGGTAGAGGAATTTGGTGACGTTTGTGAGAGTGAGTGACGACTGAAACTGAGACTGAGACTGAGACTGAGATGGCATTGTGATGCATACGGGTAACAGAGTTTCATTTATTATTTGTTTTTGATTTTTTGTTAACTCTTTTTTTTTGTACTTTTTTCATTTAGCGATAAAAGCTAAAAAGGTTAAGGCTCACCCTTGCGAATTGGTATATGTGCCGTGGGAGTGGGTTGTGGTGACAAAGATGTGGGAAACGACACCATGCCGCCCGCTGTTACCGTGGCATTACCTGACACAGGCTGTCGCTGCTGCTGCTGCTGCTGCTGTTGTTGCTGTTGTCGTTGATTTGGTTGACTCAAATTCGGATTTACCAACTGATGATGCGGTGGATAGGTTTGCAGTTGATTACGCTGCTGTTGCTGGTGTATTTGCGTGTGGTAAATATCAATTGGCGTCATTGTTTGCACGCCAATTTGTTGTGGCGTGAACATTTGAGTCGGCTGTTGGTAATTTGGCGATGCCGTTTGCAACGGAAATATTGACTGCGTTTCGACAATTTGATAGCCGTGCGTCGTATAAGGATTCATGTTGTTGCTATTGCTGGCAGTGATCCCGTGGTAGCGATGATCCGCATTATGATGCGGCGGTGTGTAAAATTGCACCGCAGGCGCTAATATTGTCGATAGCATTGTGGTGCGTGGCGGTGGGAAATTCGGCATTGGTGGATATTTAGCAACACCACCGCTACCACCACGACTGGATGCCGTTGTTAATTCACTGCCACTGCCGCCAAGCTTTTTAGGCGACATATACTCTATATTGACGAGACCAGTGTCCAGTTCACTACCAATGCTGCCGCCATTGCTGCTGCTGCCGCTGCTATCTGGCAATGTTAATGATGGATTACCATCAAAGTTTGTGGCGTTTATATAAATCAACTTGTGCTGCCCATCTAGGTTTGTTGCTTGGAATTGTGACTTTTGTTGCTGCTGCTGCTGGTGGTGGCGATGATGTGGCCGTCGATGTGCTGTTGTTGTTGTTGTGGTATGTGTTGGCAGTGACGAAGTGTCCACACCCACATCCGGCCCCCACATTCGCGTGAAAATATCATCCGCCGAACTGGGCGTCAGATCGTTTATCGTTTCGTATGCTGAAAGCGTTGAGAGATGACGGCCACCACCGTCACCGTGGCCGTGGCCGGTGCCCCCCGCTGTTACGACAAATGGCGAGTAAGTTTGTGGATGGGGAGGCGCCTCGTTGGCGCTGAGTATGTGCAACATGTGGTAACTTGTGTGCAAATTGTTGCACTTATATTGACCTTCGTGCACTTTAAGCGCGTGACGCACGGATAGATGTGCCTCGATTTTGTGTTTCTCACCTTGATTGTGTGAAAAGTTGGGAGCTTTAGAGAAAGTTTTTTCTGTTTTTTTTTATTTATTTTTTTACTAGTTTTTTTTGCGTTTATATAAAGAAAAAAACTGTTTTATTATCACACTAAACCTAACTCTAAATAAATGAGCGTAAAATTCAAGGTTGGGGAGACTAGGGCTGGTAAAAAAAAAAAAAGTAAAATAAATTCTCAGCTATAAAACTATGTGTCTTGGTTTGAATGAAAAAAAAATAGACTGCAATATCCATATTTCAGTTAAGTAAGAGAAAAAATAAACGAAAATGTGTGCCAGGTGAATCAAAAAGTAACTGGTCGGAAGGAACCAAACTCGACACAGGTTCATACATCCGTGGGTTCGCAATGATAGAATGAGATCAAAGTGAGAGTGTAAGTACATTTTTCATTTTTTTTTCCACTTTTTGGCATTCTTTGAATGGATTAATGAACGAAACGAAT